CTCAGATCTAAAGTCAATAATGTCATTTTTAAAATTTAAACTGCCATCAACATTACAAAAGCATTTCAGAGTAATATATTTCTTAATCAGTTTCTCTATTTAAGCCTATTATTGGAAATATATTTGAAGAGGAAAGATGTTCTCTATTCCTTAACCTATTTTCACATCTACATATATGAAATTAATCTTACTAAGGGTCTCATCTGAAGTAACAGAAAGAATCTTCCTACTTTCAGTCCTCTTATTTTGGTTGGGTGACATATCAAAATGATCCCAAAATGCTGATGACACTACTACCTGATTTAAGCATTCTAAAAGTGAGTGAATGATTTAACAGAGAACAGTAAAATTTATTTATTTATTTAAAGATTTATTTATTTATTTATACAAGCACAGGGTACAGTCAGAAGTGCAGGAGGGTGAGAGAATTCACCAGAGCCAGAGGGGAGAGCAGAGCAGGCAGAGTGACGGAGTACACTGCTGAGGGGAGTAGCCGGCAGCAGGAGAGGTCTGCGCGCCATGTGGGACCCTCGCCCAGTGGCCAGGGATCGAACTGGCGCTGCAGAGGCTGCAGGCAGCTTCGCAACCCAGCACTCAACCGCTGCGCCACCGGGGAGTCCCGGGAGCAGTAAAATTTAATGCTACAAAATAAAAACATAAAACATCATGTTTCCAAGTATGAAGCTAGTCAGTGACTGAAGCTCTTACAGAAAATTAAAAACAGCACACAAAAGAAATGTTGCATATGTTTCTATTACTTAAAAGTAATATCCACTACTGGTGCTCATATATTTGATTGTTTATAGAGTACTACTTCACAGTACCCATACAGTATTTATCGTTAGAAGTGCTCACAATACTGTTTTTAAAACACTGTGGTTATATATATATGGATTTACCACTCTAGCCATCAAAATATTTTTTTAAAAGACCTTGATTACTGGGCCTCCCCGGTGGCGCAGCGGTAGAGCGCTGGGTTGCGAAGCTGCCCGCAGCCTCTGCAGCGCCGGTTCAATCCCCAGCTGCTCCCCAGCCACCGGAGGAGGGTCCCACATGGCGCGCTGACCTCCCCTGCTGCCCGCTGCTCCCCTCAGCAGTGTACTTCAGTCCTTCTGCCTGCTCTGCTCCCCGCTCTGGCTCTGGTGAATTCTCTCACCCTCCCGCGCTTCTGACTATACCCAGTGCTTGTATTAAAAAAAAATAAATAAATAATAATAATAAAAATAAAAAAATAAATTAAAAAAAAAGACCTTAATTACTTAAGATGAAAAGGAGAGATTCCCATTCCTTTCACTGGTAAGAACACAATTAAGAAAAAAAAAGATGAAATCAGCCACATTTATTATCACAGGTCATAAACCTGAACGAAATCAAGTAAAAGTTCAAAAGCTGCACCATGTGGGTCAGCTCCCTGACCGGGGATCTAACTCATACAGCAGTGGCGGGCGATAGCATGATACTGCTGAGACTTAGCCCCTGGCCCACCAGGGAGGCCCAGAAACAACTCTTGAAAAAGTGAAAATTTTAGTAGGAATTTAAACTATGATCAATACTTTTCTAAACCTATGGTTCTTATGATGATCCCAAATAACAGAACACTATCAAAAGCTGAAAGGGCAAGAATAACATTTTTAGACAAAATATTTTCAATTCCTCTTACAAATCTAAATTAAATTATCTCAACAAATTAACAAGAGAACTGGGGGAAATCCACACCTCCTATTTCTAGTCATTAAAATTGCCAACTGTGGGAATGATTACCACTCAAAAGCAAAATAAAAGGGAATGATATTTTACTAAAATAATCTTAAGACCATTTTCTCAAAACCGCCTCAGTTTCCATCACCTTGTAAACAGTTCAAGTTTCTAAAAAGGGAAACCAGGTTCTCTACCACCCCTGCAAGAGACTGGGGACAAGAGAGGAAAAGAGAGCAGAGCCTGAGAGAGGAAAGCACTCTGCGTGAACCAGCCACACCGGCCTGGAACCTGCCAACACAAGCTTTAATTTAATTCTGAATGTCGGACTTATGTATTTCATCCTTTAAACGTTACTTCAGAAACTTAACTGTAAATTTTTCTCCTAAGTAAGTTTTTTAAAAGGCAGCACGGTTTAAAGTTTCATATAAATGCATGCACTTAAATTAAATCAACCGTCTTATTAACTGGTGGTTCTGTAGCCAAAGAAAACAACTTCAGCTGTGGGAAACACTTAACAAGTTTGACTGATAAATTCAAACCCCATCAAAGCCCATCGGTCGCTAATGTCAGCTGGAAGGGAAAGGGCGGCTCTTAGAAAGTTACCCAAGTTATTTACCATGCTGTTTTCTGTGAGGACGGATACACATATGCAGAGGCATCAGAGTCCATGATGGAATGATTAAAACAACAGCAACTTAGAGAGGCAGGAGGTGTGAGAAAACCCTGGGTTTTGAGTTAGACCTAAGTCTGAACCTGACTCTACCTCCTATAAGTCTTGGGCAAATGACTTAATTTCTCTGAATCTGATTTTTTTTAACAATAAAATGAAGCAGATACCACCTGACTAAATGAAGCATTGAGAGAATTAAATTAAATGCTTGTATTGGCAGGTTACAGGCTATTTTGGTTGGTTCATGCAGAGGACTTAAGACAAGAAGAAAAATTGCTCCTTAGTGGATTATTCTTGAAGTTACATGTGAGAAAACTGTAAAGAAAGACAATAAAATGGCAAAGAAAAAGAATTTTTCTGGGAATCAGGTTAACAGATCTAGTTAGAGAATCACTGAACATCTCCCTTTAAAAATGAAGATTTTTAAATTCACCTGCATCTTAATTTACTTCTCTTTTTCACTTAGTTCATAAGTGAACGTCCATTAACCTAACAAGAATCGTTTGCATATTCTAGGGGAAATATCCAGTATAAGTAAACACGACTATCAAATTTAAGATAAAAAGTATATATTGATTGAGGATAATAGGTTTAATATCACTGCAAACATTTCTTTCAGAAAACTTCCAACAAAATTTAAAGATCACATGAGCACTTCCTGTTAAAACAGGAAATTGCTTTTTTGAATATGAGATCATATTAAGGTAAGACTATACTTCTGGAAGATTATGTCTTATTGACAAAAACCTGTGTACTAAAATTAGAATCATATGGAACTGCCATCATTCAACTGTTTTTGACCTACAAAAGGCCAATTTCACTTTGTGAGCCAGAAATGTCATACACTGGGATCCGTAAGGTCCTCTGTTCTCAGGTAACATGAATTTAGCTGAAAAGACAGAACAGAGACACAGGCCATTCACTGCAATTAAAAAAAAAAAAATCAACACGATTAACCATTCAGCTTCTTCGTATTTCATTGCCATACAGGCCGAAACAATAAGAATATTTTTTTTAATTCATTACTGAACATTACTATTTTAAAGTCACTTGACAGAAAACAAATTTCTTTAGATTTGGTCCTGACTATCCTGTATAGGACAGGACCACGTTAAAATGGAGGACAGCAGTATGAGAAAAAGAACTTAAAAGAAGCTATCTCTTTGAGTGTTTTATATAATGTGCCTTTTATTTCTTCTTCTTATTAAAGATATGCTTCTAATTTTCCAGAAGTGTCCTTTCCGCATTAGTCATTCATATAATATATAATGAAAAGTTAAAATTGGTAGAGAAACACTGATAACAAATACCCAGAATACAGTTGTTTTCTTATTAGAAAATTATCACTATCACCTAGCTCACTCTACTTTTGAAATGCTACATATTTGAGAATACATACACTAGAGGTTGTTCAATGAGAACAAAAATGATTCTTTTAGGAGAATTTATTCCCTCAATACATACCCTTAAAATGCAAGGAGGGGGGTCCATGGAAATATATTTTAATACCCCTGAAAATTCCCTTTTAGGCTTGGAGGACCAAGAGACGAAATTTGACCTGGAGACAGAGGCATGAACTTTGCTCACTTTTGCACAAATTCTACACTAGGGTCACCAGTGAGGTAGCCCAGGTTTTCCCTTCACTTTTCTGTATTTAACATTTCTGATTAACCACCAAGGAAGTGAAGAAAGGCTACTGACTTACCTTTTGTTTTAAATTCTGTCTGTGGGGTGTGAACTGTGACACAATTTCCATCGACTACTACATTTTACAAATTAAGGCATTTAAAGAACAGAACGGTTTTCCAGATCAATCTCAACTCTCAGCATGCCTCTTCCCCAGCTAGTTTCTTCACTAGCTAAAAAGAGAGCTCAACCTCTGGGTGGAGAGGGCTACCCACTGATAGGACCTGATTCATAGATCAACAGTCTTTCATCAAAGAATATTCTGCCCTTCTTTTCATTTTAAGTTTGAATTTCTTAGACTAAAAAAACTTTTCTCCAAAGCTATACACATGAAATCCATTTTTCAAGCATAACTCTGTAAAAATTGATTTGTGAGCCTTCCAGGAGCTGCTTTTCACACACTCATTCCATTAAGTATGCAAGTTTCTTAACACAACCATCCACTTATTCTAACATTTTTACAGGAGTCTTGCTTACTGAACCCCCGTGAGTTCAATCAGGTATTACACTGGGGAAAGCCAGTTTAATACTAAATTTTGTGTGAAAGCATTAATAACACAGACCAATAAGCCCTTCTCATCTTGGTCCACAAGCTGCTAGATTAATTGCTGACTGAAACTGCCCCCCTTTTTTTAACCCAGTATTCTTTCTCTTTCACACACACCCTATGAAAACTGTATTTGTGAAGCAAACTACAACTTCCTCCAAATTCACAGATGATAGGTCTAATTTTAGGGGAAGAAAATCGGGGGTTGCCAGTGAAGTCAGTCCTACACCTTTGTGTCTGTCAGAGGAAAGAACAAAAGGCAGCGTTTTCTCCCCCAGCCCCTCCTTAGCATTGAAGGAAGGCAGGCTTGACAGAACAGTTGCACAGAAAAAGGAAGCCATGCCGGAGCTAGCGAGAGTTTCCCATAAACAAACACACAAAGCTACCCAAGCTACCCACCTTGGATAGCTGCCTCCTGAGGCTAAAGCGCTGAACCATGGTCACCTTGAGTAATCTTCAGACAAAGCAATCCACGAAGGGTTTTTTTAAAAAACAGCCTTTTGAAAAAGTCGGTAGCAAAACATTTTGAAGACTGTCACTGAAGTCCAAAGAATTTCGCCGGGAGACTTAGAAAACTTGGAACCACTTCATTGTTCCATGGAGAGATACCGCAAAGCCTACGTCGTCGGAGAGGGGCGGGCTGGCCGAGGCTGGGAGGGGCAGAATCCTGGAGCTGCTTCACCCAGTGCCAAGCTCTGCAAGCACTTCCTGTGAGTCAGCCATGAGGGGTCCAGACAGAAGGACCACCCCTTCCCTTTCCACCAAGTAATTAGCAAAGGATGCCGCCGAGGATGTAGCCACAGTGCCACCTGAGACTCCAGGTGGGGGTGGGGGGAGGCGGCCGCCCTGATGTTCCAGTCGGTGTGAGAGGAGTGGCGCACCGGGTTAGAAAGCATCTGCCAAATAGAAAACTGGCAACAGAAACTATTCTTCCCATCCTAAAGCCCTCCCAGCGAAGGGGGTACCCAGCAAAGAGCAACACTCCGCCCCCAACACGTCATCTCAACCTGCACGTCAGATAATCTGCTGGAGGAGGTTGCAAACAAACCCCTGACTATACTAACTCTGTTCAGAGAAGGAAACTCCTCCCAGGAGGGCTCGGCAGCTGTCCGGCTTTGTCTCCAGTAATTGGCCAAGCCTTTCCTCTTATTCACAGGGAGGGGTCCTGCAGCCTCGGGAAGGAATGTCAGGTGCAGAGAGGCAGACTTTGAGGGTGCCTTCAACTTTGCCACAAAGTTCTAAACAAATTAGAGCTGCCTCCTAAGACTGCCCTCTTTCATTCAGATAATGTAATTTTAAGAAAATCTACACACAAAAGAACAATTCAGAATGAATTAATGCAAGAAAAAAAGGCCTGAAAAAATGAGAACCATTTCAAAGAAAAAAGATTATTTTGCTATCATTCGCCAATCTCTCCCAATCTATTTGATTGCTTCCAGATAACCAATGTAAGAATAAAGCTTCATTTTGGTGAACTTTCCACACTGCATATTACTCTCCAAATTGCTCATCACTTTTCAATATATTTAATAACTGATCAGGGCAGAACTTATGGCATATACTAATTTTTCTCTGCACCAGTGACTCTCATTCCCTGTAAGCATGATTAATTACAACTTACGTTACATTTATATCCCTGGTTGAAAAGAACCTACTAAGTGCAGTCACTTTGTTAGGCATTTAACATCTATTAGCCCACTGATTTCTCAAATATCCGTGTGAAATGTTTTAATATCCTGACTCTTCTAATAAGTAAAGTGGAAATCCTCTCTATAAAAACTTCAGTATTATTATAATGAAACCATAAAGTGTTAAATTTTTTTCTGAATGAGAACTTGAAAAGACAGATCTTTATTTAATGGTTATTCTCAACTATGCCATTATTACTGGTTTTCAATTATCACTAAATATGATGATAAAATGCCTAAGTTCACCTAAACTATGACATACACACATTTCATAACACCTTATAAAGAGTAGAGAGATGCAGCAAATTCAAACAAATAACAGGATGCCAACCCTCCAAAAAATTACCCTAACCAAAGTATAAGTAAAATTACAACTCCAAAAATCTTAAATGGAAACAACTGAATACATTTAACATGGTTATAAAATTTCAAAAAATCTTTTATATCAATGGTTATGGTTCAAAGTGAAGATTCCTTCATATCTAAGACTCAAAGTGGGCAAAGCAACCCAATATTCAAAGTAAATGACTAAAATTTCGTTCCAAATGGAAAGCAGAATGTCAGAGAACCTGATGATTTCTGTGTTTTTGTGTTTAAATGCTAAGACTAGCAGCAACTCCATTTTTCTCCTACACAAAAAGAAGTTGAGTACTTAGAAAACTTCTAGGAATGTAGGAAGAATGAGATACCCATGTGGAAAAAAGAAGTTTCTTACAGAAGACATATACTGTCTTTAGACATAAACATTAGGTGTTTCTGGGCCTCGGTGGTGGCGCAAGGGGTTACTATGAAGCTATCCGCAGCCACTGCAGCACGAGTTCGATCCCTGGCCAGGGAGGTGACGCACATGGCACAACAGACCTTTTTTGTCTCTCCTGCTGCTCCCCTCAGCAGCATATTTCAGTCAATCCGCCTGTTCTATTCCCCACTCTGTCTCTGATGAATCCTCTCAGTCTCCCACACCTCTGGCCTGTACCCCAGTTCTTGTATGCATAAAAAAAAAAATCTTTAAAAAAAACATACACATTAGGTGTTTCTGATATAAGCAACTAGAATCCCATATTACTGCTGTAAGAATCTAACTGCCTCCCCACCCCAAATGAAAGAGGAAGAGGGAAAGAAAAAGAACTGTAACAGGGTGGTCCCCAGGAAAAGGGGAGGTTCCAGGTACCCTGCCCCACCCAAGGGAGGATCGAGGTGAGCAGAGAGGAGAAACTGGAGAGGAGACTGGCGAAGGAAGGAGCAGGATGGAGAGCCAAAAGGAGGCCTGGAGGAGGCACATGGTGCAGAGAGACATGTGAAGAACCTGAACTGGCTTATGGGTGCTGGACTGGTTGAAACAAATGTGTGGGAGAGACCTGTGGGGAGGTTATCAATGGCAGCTTTGATTTTGCTCTTTTTCTCCCAGACTTGTTTGCCTGCTTTTGACCCGTTTCTATGGGTTCCCACTGGAAGGTGCTTTAGACTTTTGGCAGGCATTTGGGCCTTGATTTGGGCCAATCCTCTTTGGCTGGACATTTACCCATGAGGGGATGGGTAACTCTGGGTGCTTGATTTAAAAGCTGTATTTTTTGTCTTTTCTGTATTGCACACTAATTTTATTAAAGTTTCTTTCCATTAAAGGTCTTACATGTTTTAGGGTTATGAGCCATAAACAGAACATGGTATCAATCTTCAAAGGCCCAGATATACATAAAAGAACCTATGGATTAAAAGGATGGTATCTTCATTCTAGGTGGAATTTATTTTTTGCCTATTAAAACAAATATAAAATTATGATGGCTTAGATGCAACAAAACCTGTTGAAAGTTATTTGAACACATGATCACAATCCAGTTCTTTATACAAAAAGACACAAAATGAAAAAGATCCTCAATAGACTGAGCTGGTAGGGAAAAGACATGAATCTCTAAATTTGATCTATTTGAGTCCAGCAGACTTTTGGTTTGTTTTTTTAAAGATTTATTTATTTATTTTATACAAGAACCGGGGTACAGGCCAGATGCGCAGGAGGGTGAGAGGATTCACCAGAGATAGAGCCGGGAACAGAACAGGCAGACTGACGAAATACACTGCTGAGGGAAGCAGAGGGCGGCAGGAGAGGTCTGCCGTGCCATGTGGGACCCTCGCCAGCCGGCCGGGATCGAACCTGCGCTGCAGAGGCCACAGACAGCCTCACAGTGTGGCGCTCAACCGCCTGCACCAGGAGAGGCCTGCAGCAGACTTTTGGATGAAAGTAGTAGGCCAAGATCAAAGGTTACAAAATAATAGCAGAAAAGCAAGAAATGTACAACCTAGAGAAAAATCAACAGCTCTGCAACCAATCTCTTAATACTCCAGGCTTCATAAAAACAATGTTATTTTCAGTAGTTTGTGACTGAAAATCCACATCATCTTATACTCTAAATGGAAGCAAACAGCAGCTGTAATGCAATTCTTTGGGAGGGTTTTTAGTAAGATTTATTTTATTTATGCATATAATAACTGGGGTGTAGGAAAAATAAAGAATTGGGGTGTAGGCCAGAGGTGCAGGGGGGTGGTGGTGAGAGGATTCACCAGAGAGAGTGGGGAGCATAACAGGCGTTCTACTGAAATACACTGCTGAGAGGAGCAGCCAGTGAGACAGGAGAGGTCTGCTGCGCCATGTGGGTTAGCCTCTTGGTTGGGGATCGAACTCATGCTGCAGTGGCTGGCAAGTAGCGTGATAGTGCTGAGACTTTAATCCCTGCGCCACCAGGGAGGCCCTACACATGCAATTGTTAATCCTTTTTTAGATCGTGTACTGTTTTTGAAACTGTTGAAAGTTACTCAGTCGCTGGAATGAAATGCATAAAGGGGGCCTCCCTGGTGGCACAAGGGGTTAAGCACAGCACTGTGAAGCAATCCACACTATTTGTAGCATGAGTTTGACCCCCTGTTGGCCAGGGAGCTTACCCACATGACACACAACAGACCTCTCCTGTCTTGCCTGCTGCTCCCCTCAGCAGTGTATTTCAGTCAATCTGCCTGTTCTGTTCCCCATTCTGCCTCCATTAAAAGAGGTTTTCAAACTTGACCCAAATCAGAGTTGGAACTAGAATCCCAAATATCTATTTTTGTACTACATTGCTTTTCCTATCACTTCATGTTTACAACTATTTTTAATCATTAATGCACTAAAAAAGAACACTATTTAAAATACCCATGTAGAAAGCTTTTTTGTAAACTGCATAATTATTCTACCTTAAAAATGTAAACCTTTTATGCTTTAAGTTACGAGTAAGTTTCCCTAAAATCTGGCACACCTGAAGTAATAAGCTTATAGTTCTTTCCTTTATCTCTTTGGTGTTCAGTCTTTTAAGAGAGTTGTATTAAATAAACCTTACTATTCAAACATCACTGTGGGTTTTAACCAGGTTCCTGAGATAACCCAGTGGAAGTGACTATACAGTGCCAGCCACCAGTCAATCAATAAAAATTGTTTAGTTCTTACTGGGCTTTCATTATGCAATACCACATAATTTCAGAAAACTCCTTCATTCATGCACAAACAAGCACTTACAAAACCAGACAGTGTGGAATGAAACATTCCCTTTATTTTAAGGAAGTCATAATCCAGTAAGGAAATAGAAAAACAAATGGCAGAAATGTGACAACTGCTCTTATATTAGCAATAATTATTGCTAAGGGGCAGTGGTGACATGAAGGAGGAAGTGATGAACTTTGTGTGGGACAAGTAATCTTAAAGCTGGAGACTTGAAGGCTGGATAGGAATTTTGCAACATCTTTTCATGCAGTAGAAAGAACACCAGTTAAAATACATTGATGTGAAACAAGCAGCATGCAATATTTAGTTTTTCCATGCTAATAAGGCAACATGATGTAAGCCTGGAATATGCAGAATATTTCTTGTTTGTGGAACGGGAAAACACACTGTAAGAAAATAAGCAGTGTTTGGGTCTCTCTGGTGGTGTAGTGGTTAAGTCTCAATGCTATCATGCTATCACTGCTGCGGCCTGAGTTTAACCCCCAGCCAGAGAGCTAACACACATATGGCGCGGCAGACCTCTCCTGTCTCGCCCATTGCTCCCCTTATTTCAGCAGATCTGCCTGTTCTGCTCCCCGCTCTGTCTCTGGTGAATCCTCCTACCTCCCATGCCTCTGACCTGCACCCCAGTTCTTGTATGCATAAATAAAAATATATCTTAAAAAAAATGAACCAAAAGCATGGTGTTGAAGTATTTTCATATCCATGTTCATAGCAGCACTACTCACAATAGCCAAGAGGTACAGGCAAATCAAATACCAATTGACAGATAAAAGAATAGGCCAATTGTGGTACACACATATAGGAAATATTATTCACTCTTAAAAAATAAAGGAAATGCTATCATATGCCATGACATGGGTGAATCTTGATGTCATTATGCTAAGTGAAATAACTTAATTATAAAAAAATACAGTAAGATACCACACATGAGATATCTAGAGTAATCAAATTAAAAGAAACAAAGTAGAATGGTGGTTATAGTGACTGCAGAGAGGAAGAATTGTTTAATAGCTAGATGTTGCAAAATTCCTATCCAGCCTTCAAGTCTCCGACTTTAAGATTACTTGTCCCACATGAAGTTCATCACTTCCTCCTTCGTGTCACCACTGCCCCTTAGCAGTAATTATTGCTAATATAAGAGCAGTTGTCACATTTCTCCCATTTGTTTTTCTATTTCCTAACTAGATTATGATTTCCTTAAAATAAAGGAAATGTTTCATTCCATACTGTCTGGTTTTGCAAGATGAAAATATTCTGGAGAAGTTTTGAAACAATGTGAACATACTTAATACTACTACACTGTACACTTAAATACGGATAAATGATAAATTTTGGTCTTTAACCACAATTTTTAAAGAAGTGATACTACTTGTATTTCTATTTCCAAGTATGCTCCTTGATTGGCACTTTTTTCCTTAAGCTGCCTTAGGCATGAAGACCAACAGAGACATGTCTTTTTCCCAAAAGAAAAGAATCTTTTCTAAATAATAGGGCATTCTCTCCACACAGAAATGAAGAGTTTTGACAATGACATGTCACTGCAGAGCTTTAAAGACCTAGTATCCAAAAATGGCTTATTGCCAAGAATCCTTATAAATGAACAAACAGCTACTCCCTTCTGATTTTTTC